GGACGTTACACACCTTCCCTTTGTGGTGGTGGAGCTGGTGTAAATAGTAGAGCTGAAAAAGGGGGGTGGGGAGAAGGGATGAGCATGACTCATTCTGTATTTATCAAGTGTAATTTTATAAAGGCTGTTCATCGTTTCGCAGAGATGAGTAAGTGGGTAATGTATGTTTCTTAATCTTCTTAGTTAATAGAAAAAGAACCCCAAAGTCATCTCCTGTGGTAAGCGAAATGCAAAGTTCAAAACGTCCATTTCCTAATAGATCAGGAGGTAGGAGTGTTGCTCTAAATTAAAGAAGTAAAAATAAAACTATATACAAAGCTTGGGGAAAACACATGCAAAAATGCCAGAAGGTATTAAGGAACAGTGCTCAGATCAGGAAGTAGGAGTGTTGCTCTAAATTAAAGAAATAAAAATAATAAAACTATATACAAAGCTTGGGGAAAACACATGCAAAAATGCCAGAAGGTATTAAGGAACAGTGCTCATCATGCTGTATTTCTTAATCAGCTGTCATGTGAGCAGTGCAAAGCCTGTTGTGTGGTCTTTTTATTCAGGCTAAGTTCCACTTTCTCTAGTGAGCCAGTGGCCCACGGGTTGTGCCCACTTGTGGAAATCAAGTGTCAGCTGTCAAAGGAGAGATTGGGCCATAGAAATCTCACCTTGCATGTCACTTCAGCAGTCTTGTATAGACTTCATGCTTGAAGATACGGAGCCTGCAGCCAGACTGTAAAGGAGGTGAATTCAAGAACAGGTGCTGGTGTGAAACTAAAAATAGAAATTAATGTAGGAGAATTTTTAAGCAGTCTGTTATAAATGGTTACAACGAGATGCTTGTGTGCCTCTGCAGGTTCTAGATGTGCGATCATGCATTCTCTGTCAGAGACCGGGAGAAGGTGATCTGTGATTTTTATTTATAGTGGTGCCCAGGAGACTGGGCAGCCTTGGGTTTGTGATATAAATGTTGAGGAATGTTGGGATATGGTGTATGCCAGAGGAAAGGAGAGGTGAGAGGGGAAATCCGAGAGAAGCTGGGCTGCTGAGGTATGTACCTACTTAAATTAGTACACTGCCGCTGGAAAGACGGATGTAAGACTTCAAAAATAAGTGAGACCTATTTGGATTACAGCACAACCCTCCAAGAAGGAATTTTAAAGAGCTGAGAGGTTTTGTGTGGTTTTGTTTTTTTTTAATTCCTACATGTGAGTGTCCGTATACACCACAAAATAGGTTCTGAAAAATATTATAGCTTTATATATAAAATATTTTAGCTTTATAAAAATATTTTAGTTCTGGAACTGGGAGGAAATGGGACACAGAAGTATTTTTTTCTTAAGTAACACTATGTTGTTGGCCCATGTCTGCTCCTGCCCTCCCACTCTGGGGAGGACAGGCAAAAATAAAATGAAGTTGTGTGTGTTCTGTTACAGGTCTGATGCCTTCAGCTTTTTTCTCTGTCAGAAATATTTTTATAATATTTGATTCTATGTGTTGCATATTCTGCTGTAGGAAATAACTAAGAAGTGTAAAACAGAGGACTGGAGGTTTTTGCTTTATAGTCGCCTGAAATGATAATTTAATGAAAAAATTAATTGTATCTATAAAGCAAGATTTATATTCTGGAGACACTTTTCAGTTGCATTCTGCTGAATTGTCAGGCTGATCGTTTTTTGGCTGGATTTCCTGCAGCGAGGAGTTAATGTTGGAGTTCTGCAATTGCTTTTATGACTCTGTACACGTAATGTGGTAATTCCATCGTTGTTGCTTGGGTTTTTTTTGGTCTGTCTAGAGTTGTCAGCAAGGGTGTTGCCGTGGTGGCTTTGTCATGTGTTCAGTTGCTTTAGTAACTGGAAGAAAGGCACAAATTGATTTATTTATATTTTGTGCACTACAAATTGTGGCTCATTAATGAATGCTGAATAGAATTGGAATTAATTTACAGTGGAATCTTGCCAAGGTGTAATATGGTGGAAGCAGACTTTTTAAACTGGAGAACAATTGCATGATTTTATATTCAATTTCAATTTTATAATAAAGTTAGATTTTTTTAAAAAAAAAATCTTGCTCTTTAAGTCTAGTAGGTGTCAGTTATTCTGTGAGGAATTTTGAACTCGTCTGAAGAAAACAGCAGGTATGCAACTTAAGTTTTAAATTAATGGTGGTTTATCCTGTATTTTCATCAGAGGACAAAGGGACTGAAAATAGTATAATTTGTAGGCTAGAAATTAGCTGATAGTACTTTGAAATAGAAAATCTGTATGAATTGAGTTTTTCTTTTTCTTTTTTCCTGTGAAAAATTGGTTTATTGGCAAATAAGAGCAAGCTGCTGAATTGGTTTTTACCCTGAAAAAAAAAAGTATTACAGTAGTTCAACTTTTAGCTAATCATATGCTCATAATGGAGCATTATGAGTATCTTCCTTTCATTTTTCTTCAAAGGTTTTCTAGAAACGTAGCTTTTCCAATTGGGGAAAAAACGCTTTGCAAATTCGCTTGGCTTTTATTCAAGGATTCTTAATCAATTTGTATCTTGTTTCAGAAACAAGTTTTCCTTGTTTGGTTTTCTTCACATCTGCAGAGAGCACAGTTTAAGCCTGTTCAAACAGGAAACCAGCCACCGATATTTGCTTTTTTTAGGCACAGGGCTCTTCTGGGCTTCATAAACTTGATATTAAGCCGAAATGATGTCCCCAGCAGGGCTGTATATTTTTGATGAGGGCCCACCTGGCACGACTTGGGACGATTACTGGTAAATGACAACTTTTATAGTCACTTAAATGACAAGATTGTGCGATGCCAAGTTCTGCCAGCTTGGAGATGTCATTTCGAGAAGAGCTGCCCTGAAACTTGCCCCCCAGCTACCGACGTGTTTATAGCGAGGTGTTGCCTTGGTGTGAAGTGATCCTGAGAGCCAGCGGCTGAATTAGTGATGAGTGGTCGTTACGGTTACGACATTGTCTTAAGAGCGTTCAAGTGTTTGGTTTTGCTTTGCTTTTAACTTGCTCGTGGAACTTGTCGTAGATCCCTGACGTTTATATTGTGAGGAACGTGCCAATAAAATGTAGAGTACCTTTGTGAAATTCATTACTTTCTTCAGGAACAAATATATGCCTTTTAAGTTTTAAACCGTTGTTGCATACCTTTTGGAGGTAGAAAGAAAAAAAACAGATCAGTCGAGCACTTTGTGGAGGGCTTGCACACGTTTAGTGTCCTCAGAGCTGTACAGAAATGTCTTGCATCTCAAACAAAAATGTGGTAACTTTATTATATGCAAAAATGCATTTAACTTTAGAACTTACTAGCTTGTAGCGAGGGGGAAAAAAAAAAACGGACAACAAACAGATCACTAACATTTTTAATAGTCTGTCATCAGTATGATGCTGCAATCTCCAACTTGTAGCAAATACTGCTGAATCGATATTCTTAGATCTGGTTCTTGATGCCAAACTTAACGTAGCAGACTTGAATTTGTGTCAGAGGATTAGTTTGGTGTTGGGCACAAAAAAGGTTACTTATTTTACAGATTGATTTAAATGACCTAAAACTAGAAATTGTTCTAGTACGGTATGAATGTTGCGATAACAGATATTTTTCTTTAGAAGTTGTTTCTCAATAAGATTAAAGCAAAATTTGAATAGTATTTGGGTTAGACATATGCTTGTACTTACAGCTGCCATTTTATGTCTACACGTTTGTATGTCTGATCCCCCAAAATAAATGTGTGCTTATCTGTATATCTGATTCCCTAAACTAAGCACTTTAAAATGTGTTTAACCACAGGTGATGTTTTAGTGTGCTGTACCAATAGCTATATCAGGTGTCTGCCTCATTGTGTGTGTGAATAACACATTTAAAACAAATAAATTTAAGAAAGGAAACAGTAAAGGAAACCAATTTCAAGAAATATTAAGAATAAATTTCCATATTACACAGTGAAAGCTGAAAGATAGAAGGCTTCATACTTTTCATACTATGTCTCCTGTTAGTACTTTTGGATATGTACTATTTCTGAATTTTGAATTAAAATTTAAAGAAGGCTGAATTGTTTCTTCTGTGAGAGAGATTGGCATTGACCTGTTTTTTATCATGTTTCTATGTTGGTGTATTGCCATTTTTAGATGAGTATGCAAATTTATCTTTTGGTCTGACAAGACTGGCTTTTAAGGTAAAATGACTGTTCCATAAAATAAAAGGAAGTTAAAAAAAAAAATGATGCAATAGCTTGCAGTAAGACAGAGCCATAAACAGTGAAGCAGGCAAAATGGGAATAGGTGGTCAGCAGTACAGGGTTTTATTTTTATAAAGCAAAAACAAAGGAAAAACAAAAAAAACCCGACCACCCCAACCTAAACCCTGAAATAAGAAAAAGGATATGGAGGATTTCAATTTTGGAATAGCAAGTGCTTTCACATCTCTGTTGCCACACGTACAGCTTCGTTTTGACTGATGTACGTATAAGGATGAGAAAATTTCTGTTCTTAAACATTATTAGACAATGAAGTCCTCCTTGTAGGAGAAAACAAAAAAGCAAACATTTTCTGAAAGCCTTTTTGTTGAATTTGCCTAAGCAAAATATGAATAATCATGGTGGACAGTAGAGCTGCTGACAAACATCCTTTCTTGCCTGTGAAAGGCGATGTCAAAGAGGGAAGTGTAAACCTAGCACTGTCTTTTCAGCTTTGTGCAGGTTGTGAAGGAGAATCTTTGGTTATTCCTTAGTGATCTTGTAAAAACTAGTCTCCATGCTCATCTACTATTTACCACTTGTATCTTTGCCCATGGAGTATTAGATATCTTACGTATGTGCTTCAAAGAAGTAAGGAAAGCTTGATCTAAAAATTTAGTGGTGGTATTGAGGGGGGGAACAGATATGCTTCACTTATTCTTCAGTGGAAACTTCTTGAAGCTGGTAGTTGAAACTGCTCAAAATGTTGTGGGTAGGCACAGAACAGGCTCAGAATTAGTAATGAGGAACTTGGCTTAACTTTATGCTTTTTGTTCCACAGTGTGATGTTCAGGGTCAGAAATGCCTTATGTGGATCGTCAGAATCGCATTTGTGGTTTCCTAGATATTGAAGAAAATGAGAATAGTGGAAAGTTTCTGCGGCGGTACTTTATTCTGGACACACGAGAAGACAGCCTGGTGTGGTATATGGATAACCCACAGGTGAGATGTTCTTAGCAATAGTTATTTAGCTTGTCTAAATTTACACTTTTTCAGATTTTTAACAAATTTACTCGAGAGAAATGGTGTTTGATCTTAATTCATGGACCTGGAAGCTGGGGCGACAGGAGGGAAGTTACGTAAGTGAAATTGTTGTAAGTCAGTGACTTGTCTTTGCTAATTATCTGCAATATTTTAAAGAAAAATATAATTAATTACCAATTACAGTTAGTAAAACACGAAAAGCATTGGTGAATTGCCAGTATGTGGGATCTAGGTATTGACAAGAGAATTGAAGGTCAGGTAGGAATCTAAATTTCATACCCCGTGTAAATCAGGTATTTGGTTTTAGTGATGTGCTTTATGTATTTTGCTTTTTATCAGGTGTCTTGAGTGTGCATTGCAGGTTCTCACAGGCACTAGGTAGTGCTGTGTAACGTAACCAGAGGAGCGGAATCACATAGTAATTCCATTATTTCAGGTCTTTTAATTCACCTTTAAGCTGATGTGGAAGCACGTAGTTTTCCTTGAGTTGCATGGGTCGGTTAGCAATTCTGTGTTACTTTACTTCAACTAAATCAGTCACTTGAAAATGACTTCTGATGATGCTCGGTGGTTTCTACAGCGTGAGTGGTACGTGAATGTGAAAAGCTTGTACCCATCGTGATGGAGAGCATCCTTTGTGTAAAAGCTGCTTTTATGATGTACACGCATCAGTGTGTCTCCTAGCATAGAGAACAGATCATTGCTTAGGATTTGGGTACAAAGACAGCAAAAGTGTAGGATCTAGGTCAGGTGACAACTGTCTGCCAGAAGAATGTTTGTGCCAGAAGAGTATTTGTCTTCTGCCAGGAAAAGCACAGTTAAAATGCAGTAGAAATCCACTGTTCAAAGGAACTTGTGGAAAAAAGAATAAGTCAATGGCTTGCAGTTCAATGACTGTGACTTGTGGCTGAAGTGTGCAGAAGTTCTTACTGAGGAGAGAGAAAAAGAAAGAAGTTCTGGAAATAAGAGACTTAAAATATTTGACCTCGGTGAGTGATGTGGAACAGTTTATTTTCCTCAGTTTCTCCTGTGATACAGCTAGGACACGTGGGTAAAAACTTGAAATGCCAGAGGAACTGCAGTTCACTGGAAGTTGTAATACTAATGATAATTTGCAGTGCACAGCTCTTGAAGTTTTGTTTAGACTTTCTTTTTTGTGTATGTGTTAGAGTTTATGAACAAATGAAAGGGTACCTTGCAAGCTACAAGTTCAATCTTCTTAATTTTCTTCACTACTGCTTTAGTTACAAAGAACTACAGAGCTTTTCTAGACTCAGTCTGTGAAAGAATAAAACTTCATACAGGGTGAGTCTACGGTGTGTGCAAAACTTCACTGGGCCCTTTGTTGCCGATAGAGGAGCTGTTTGTATTTGTTAAAGTCAGTGGCTCAAAGAATAATATTTTTAATTCCACTATTAACCACACATCATTATCCTAATATAAAGATTATAAAAGTGGTGTGTGCTGGGATCAAAATCATTCTGATAAAATGGGATTTAAATGTTATTTATTTGGGCAGAACAGGAAGACTCTTTTATTAAATTTCAGCATCACCAGTCTAAAGCAAACCTGGCCTACTTCTTACCTTTGAAATACAAATGGAAAATAAACCAGTATTTGTCTGTTCTTCTGACTCTGTGGGTAGCGTTTGGCTCTTCTTTGCATAATAGCGAAGAACATTTTACCTGGGGAAAAGATCAGCGAGCAGATGCAGAACCGCGCTCGTGGTCCCCAGGGAGGCCTGTGGTGGGAAGAATGATACTGTAACATAAAGGGCCATTTTTAAAATCAAAATTGTAACGGAAAAAAGTACGTGGAAAACAATGCTCTATGTGGAGGAATAAAGTTAGGAAGACCGTTTCGTCAGAAACACTTAATAAAGTGAACCATTTCTTGTGCTGATCATTTCTTCAGCTGTTGTATTTTAGGCTGATTGTGAATAGTAGTGTTAAGAGTAGTATGTTAAGCAAGGATGTAAAAAGAGCAGACGGCTCCTTTTTTTATTGTAAATATACTTAAGCTTAACTGCAACTTTAGGAAGTACTGTGGTCTTTCCGTGCAATAACTTTTAACATTAAATGAAGACGCTACAGTTTTCCAATCGCTTTTGGAAAACTCATGAGACAGCCTTTGAAGTGTCTTACGTAATAAATGGATGTCACTTCTTGCCCCTTCCGCCAGCTCTGGTCAAAATACATAAGACGCCACCATCTGCTAAGGAAAAAGTATTCTTTCCGGATTTCCTGGATGCAGACCTGCAAGAATCCTTTTTCCTCTAGTAAAATACATAAACCCCTGAAACAATTACTATTTGTATTGTTTCTAGCAGTCTTTCTGATTTCAGTTGATTAACAGATGTGTGTATAATAAACAAGTAGTTTAGATCCTGTTTCAAGCGTACATTGTGTATTGTCTATAAAAACCTGTAGGATTTTCTTTTTGTGTGTGGAATTATTTGGGTTTTTAATGTGTAAACACTGTGATACAAGAATAAACTAGTTTCACTTTGTAACATGTGATTTGTTTCAGAACCTTCCCTCTGGATCTCCACCTGTTGGGGTCATTAAACTTACCTATATTTCCAAGGTAAGAAAATACGTAAGACACTTGTTGTTTTATTTTTTTTAATAGCTAGGAAGGCCTTAACTTTAGACAATTTTAAATGCCTCTCTTGTAGCACATGGGAAACTTTTTGCTTGTGTGCTACTCTGGAATTTTGTACAAGTGTTACAAACAGATCAGCAGTATCAGGTTAAAATAAGAACAACCTAGTTACCGTGCTGTCTAGATTTGTTTTGTATTTTCAAATGGCCTCTCTTTGTGCTGCATAGAATTAATGTTTCTGAACTGTATGTTTCAGTTCTTTGAGTATTTGAATTCCAGTCAGTCTTGGAGAAAAGACAGGAAGTGGAAGATAAGTCTTTGGGTGTGATAGCTTGCAAGTAATCATGATCTTTAATAGATAGAACAGAAAAAAAGTTTAGAAAATACTGAATCCATTACACTCCCAAATACATCTGAAAATAAACTATGAACTAAGCAGAAACTGGCTTAACACGTAAGTGGAGAAAAATAATTGACCTTTTTGTCTTTCTGCTCACTTACTGTCCTTTTGCTTTTCTTGTCATACTACATCTTCTCACCTTCCTTGTTTTGTTTATTTTATTCTTGTAAAAGATAGCAGTGCTAATTAAATCATGGGTACAGAAGTGTCTGGAGATCTACTTATGTCCTTCCTGGTTTCGTCCTCCTTACTTTGCTCCAAACCTCACAGTTGTCCTCTTAATAAATCTGAAATCTTGTAGCTCCCCTGTAACGGGAGCAGGGCTGGGCACCTCCGCCTGTGCACCCGTAAAGGCAGCTCAGGTGTGCTTCCCGTGCAGATTCTCTGTCCAACTTTCCATAGTTCTTCTAGTTATCTAGTACATCTTTTTTATTTCCAGCCCCACCCCCCTAAAAAAAAGACATTTGGATGCGAGACACTTCTCTAGCTTTTCTCCCACCCTTGACAGAAGTGCTCTGTAATGTAAAAATGTCAGTGCCTCTCTGGAGACAGGACACTTGCTTCTCTCTTCCCCCAACACTTCAACCTTTTAAAGATTCTGAAAGAGAAGTAGCTACTATTCTTCTTATGTTAATGAACTGGAAATACAACTGATGCCCTTGACTGTATGAAGCATCCTTGGATTTTTTGTGCAGTTGAGATGTAGAACTTCAAAAAGCAGGTAGAAGCGTTGTTTTCCGTTTTCTGCGTTTGTCTGGTAATGCATCCTTAAACTTCAGGAATAGGAACACAGGCCTTAAGCTGTCATCTTACCATAGACTGAGCATCTTGAACTGAATTTTCTATAGTATTTTTTTGTCTTATCTGTATATCTTTATACCTAACAAACCTGCTATGCTGCTAATCCTCAAATTTAGCCACTTGAAAGAGGAAAAAAAAAAGCCATAACTGATGTATATTTTGTACGCAGAGATATTTCTAATTTTAATTTCTCTACCAGGTTAGCGATGCAACTAAGCTAAGGCCAAAGGCAGAATTCTGTTTTGGTAAGTTCTTGCATGCAGCACATCCATCAAATAGGTTCTTCAGAAATTTGAAACGAAGATAATGTTCCGCCTTTTTTTTTTTTTCCCCCTAGATACAGATGGTAATGTATTTTTTAAAAAAATAGTCTTTATTCACTGTTTCTCCTTTAGCGTAAGGGAAATGCTGGCTTCTTCATAAGGTGTGTTTTTGGCTTTTCATACTGCAGCTTAACGAGGAGTAGGTGAGAGCTGTTTTTCAGATGTTTGAAGATTTAGAGGCATTAAACTAATAAAAAAGTTTAGTTTTAGAAATAGGACCTACCTGTCATCTATGAAGACAAGTAATTTAACTATTTTATTTTAACTATTTGTTTTAACAGTTGATTTAATTGATCTAAAAATGCAGTTGGCCAATGATCTTCTCCGAAGCTTCAGCCTCTATTGCTGCACCAAAGAAAAAGAATTTACTTGAGTCACCTTATAGATTTATTGATGATGCTTAAACTTGTTTAAACTTGAGTAATGCTGTTGATAATCACAGAAGCCCCTACTGGTCTTTTTTTAGATCTTATTTTTAAGTGATTTTCCACGATTTACCAGTGTTGGGTTTTTTTTGACAAGCAGTTGGCCCTCACAAAAGTAGGTGTAGAGACTGGGACGAGCCTCTGCGCTGTTTATGGATAATTGTTCTTTATGGCTGCGTTTGCCTGAGTTTTAGCTTGGGTGAAGGTACTGAAAATGCCTGAAGGTTTTACGACAGTCAGTTAAGGTGTCCTTTGCCGTGTGCAGTCCTGGAGGGGGCAGCTCTCTCGGGTTTGTGCAGTCGGTGGGCTGGAGCTCCTCAAACACTTGGTAAATCCCCGCTGAGCGTAAAAATTTGGGGATTCCGGACACGTACCTGGCACCTCAGTTTGATGCCGTCTACAGATTCCTCTGCCCATGTGTTTGTGTTCAGCGGCTGTAAAACTGCTTTTGTCAGAGCGCCAGCTCTAAAAAGCTTTAATGATCCGAGGTGCTGGCTGAAAGCTTTTAAGACTTCTGATTTATTAAAGTGCTTTTTTTACAGTTTAAAGGGACAATATACATTTGTTATCTTTTTGTTTAAATACCAGGAGTTGTTATGGGCAACTCATTATGCAATTCTTATTTTGAATTTGTATTTGCATCTGCTTGCTTTTCTCCCCACTATGAGGAGAAAGATGATAGAGTGAAAATACCTGTTTCTGGCGTGTTTGCTATTATTGATGACTTGAACTGTTACGTTACACGTAGAGCATCAAATTCCATTCAGACTTTAGCTGCAATGATTTTAGGTTCTGGGAAGTTTTTGGTCACTGTTCAACTTAAAACCAGCTTCAAGATATCTTCTTAAAATTTGTGAGAAAACTAGCTGTGGTTTTTGTTGTTGTTTTATTTTTTTTTAGACACAGAATTATGAGAAAGGTATGTTAGGTATTGCCAGTAGATGTATAAACATTAAAAATACTCTTTCTCTGCCAAGTCACTAAAGGAAAATAAAATTTTATATTCTGGCTATTTTAAAGTTGTTTTAGTCCTGCGCATCATACAGTTAGTAATCAATAGTAAATTTTCCACAAATTAAAAAAAAAAAGAGTAAATCGTAGTCACTTTAACAAGTCTGTTGCAAATGATGACAGATACTGGTCGGAAGATTAAAAGGAGGAACTGTAGAAGTCCCCAAGTGTAAAGCTTTGTTGCTTAGGGAAACTGAGAAAAGGGAAATGGAGCAGTAGAAAATACTGATAAAATTAAAGGCTTCATTTCTAAGTAATAAAAATCACTTAAATTCTTTATGATGCTTTTAAGTGAAAAGGTTGAAAATAAAAAAGTTGGGGGGTTGGGGGCCGTGTTTTTTGTTTGGGTTTTGTTTTCTTTTGTGTGGTATGGGGGTTGTGGGTTTTTTTGGTCTTTTTTTTTTTTTTTAGAATAAAGCAAGCCTGTCAAGTGGATGTATATCTTAAGATGACTTTCTAAAAAAAAAATACAGCAGAGTTTAAATACTTACCTGAATTTTCCATCTGAAATCAAATCTTTTTATGACGGTGTTAAATGTGCTCTTAAATGTCAGCGTTGTTAACTTTTCCTCCTGGTTTTTAACAGTTATGAATGCAGGGATGAGAAAATACTTTCTACAAGCCAATGATCAGCAGGACCTAGTTGAATGGGTAAATGTCCTGAACAAAGCTACCAAAATCACAGTAAGTGGTTTAGTTGATATTTAGCAATGCTTTCGAATGGTGACTGTCTCAAGGTGCTTAAGTGTAACCTTTGCCTGGTTTTTGTGCTAGAGTAGTCTTGATATCTCAGTGAACACTTGGCTTTCCGAGATCTGGGGAAACTGCACTGAACTCTCTCTAAATTTGAACTTGTAATTTTTGCTTTGGAAATAGGACAAAAATCTCTTTCATTACAGTGTATGAAGGTTTCTAGTAATTTAAAATTAACCATGCACACTTGATGTTAATTGAAATATTCAGAAGACACTTGCAAGCCATGAAAAGACACATGTACATTTTCCTGGTGTCAAATTTTTGTATTCCTTAAAGCATCACTGCAATAGTAAATACATCCTGCCACGTTCCAAGGGCTCTCTCATTAAAACACACATCAATATATTTTTCTGCAAAGGAAATTACTTTTCTGGTTCATACCAGACAGCTTGTTAGCACATGGTAGAAAACCCCAGGTATTACTTTGGATGTTTCAGGAGGCAGGAGCTATGGTTTTGTTTTCTCTCAAGTTTCAGGGGAGTGATGACACGAACTGCTTTGAGAGAAGGACTCCGAGCATGGCAGCATACATTCACATTTGCTGTCAGTAGCTTTTTTGGTTTTAGGTTATCTAAGGATGTTTCGGTGGGTTGTTCACGTTGTTTTAATGTAACCCCTTCTTTGGAATTAGAAAAATGTTACTAATAAGTGAAAGACAAATCCTTCTCAGGTGGATATTTCACAAGGACACACCACAACCAGGCTTGAATTGTTTCCTGTTAAGTAAGTAGAGTGAATAAAGAGTTAATTATGTCAAATTAGAATTTGGTCTGAATGCTTTTTATCATGGAATCATAGAATGTTAGGGGTTGGAAGGGACCTCTAGAGATCATCCAGTCCAGCCCCCTGCCAGAGCAGGGTCACCCAGGGCAGCCCCACAGGAACGCGTCCAGGCGGGTTTTGAACATCTCCAGAGCAGGAGACTCCACACCCTCTCTGGGCAGCCTGTGCCAGGGCTATGGCACCCTCACAGTGAAAAAGTTTCTCCTCATGTTGAGGTGAAACTTCCTATATTCTAACTTAAACCCATTGTTTCATGTGTTTAACTTGCATTATAAATGGCTGGTGAAATCATCAGTGTTTTTGAGGGAACAAGCCTTTGAACTATTAATCTGTTCAGAAGTTACTTAGCATGGCCAGCAATTTAATCAAATAATTAAGATAATCCAGTTATTTTCATACGAGCACTCCTTGCTGTAGATTGTAATCCTCCAGGCGCCATCGCATTTCTTAGTGCTCCGAGTGCTGATAATTTCAAAATAACTCTGAACCTTTGCCGTCTAGTACATCGTGCACATGTTTGACTGCCGTGTGAGCGTACATTCTTGTGAGAAGGTGATTGTGGGTTTGGTTTGTGACACTTTTATGTAGGAGTTCGTGATGGCTGAAACACCCATAAAGCTGTAGCTACGAGCCACCTTCAGCTCCAGAACTAGGTGTGAAGGGAGTCACCGTGTGCCTGTGCTGGCCAAACTGGGTCTTGTGCGAGGCTCTGGGGACAGTGGAAGCGAGAGAAGGAGCCCAAGGCCACAGCTGAGCACGCTGCAACCTTCCCTTGGCCGGGGAAAGCTGTCCTAGGCTGACATTTGTGCTCACAGGACTGCTTGTACTTTTTGCAGGCTGCTTTTTTTTTTTTCCATTTTATTAAAATAAAAAAAGGCGGTCCTGGGCATAAGAATCATGAGAGACTATAAAGTAGCTTTGTTTTTGTCTAATCAGCTCCAGCTTGAGTTTTGAATGTTCCACAGTCTTGCAAAGTCCTCTGCGGAGATAATTTGCGTGTCCCGTATTTCTAAAGGAATTTGGATGCCCCATGTAAATATCCAGTAGGTTGCTGGCTAGGATATTTTGTTGCAGGACTCAAATTTACTGTGCTAATATTGAAAGGTGAGAGGAGATTATAAATGAAAATGTTTTAGGTAGCTAGTTGGTGCATCTCATAATGTTTACTTCTTGCATAAACTGGGGAATCTGAGTAAATGTTTCAGATCAGAACACTTATTGGGGAAATTAAATTCTGGTGGTGGTGTTATGGCTCTAGTTCCACATTGAAGAGAATTAGCTAATAGTTAATGATAGGAATAGGTAGTTTGGGTCAGTATGGACAGAATTGAGCAGTCTGTTTAGTGGAGGCCGTACACAGGGTCTTCGTGCTAAGTATGGGAGCGTGAGTGCAAATGTACTTGTCAGGCATCCTGTATTTAACAAAAGGCTCAGTGCTGTTGCCCCATGTTAGCTCTGCTGGTGTCGCCAGTCTAAAGTACTTATTACTAACACTGGAAACAAGTGAAAAAATAAAGAACCAGTTCTTCCACAAATTAGCAGTGCTTCCTGAAGACCAAGCACAGCACTTAACGGCAAAGATTTCAAGACACCTGGTGAAATGCCTTGATTGGCACAAATTTTCTTCTGAGAACGAAAGCGTAGCCATTGCAGCAAATTCTCGTGTAAGCTGTTTCTAGCCTTTTACAACTAGAGAATGTTTGTTAAATCCTGCTG